TCCCATGCCATGTATGCTCGTTCCTTCTTCTTCTTTTCCTTGCGGTATGGGCAATATGACTTTATGTGGCCAAGTTCTCCACAACCAAAGCACGTTGGAATGGGTTCCCCCTTTCTTTTACAATCTCGGGACCTAAGTTCTTCCTTCAAAAACTCTTGGAACTTCTCGAGCAAGTTATAAGAAGGATTATCGTCATCGCTATCGGAGTCACTTACCTCTACCCTTTTTGAGGATGAGGCTTTGAGAGCGAGACCGGGACTCTTGTGAAGAGAAGGTTTAAGAATAGTAGATTCATAAGTTTTAAGATTACCTCGAAGACCATCGATGGTGACATTGGTGTTATCAATTGACTCATATATGGCATCAGCCTTTGAACGCCATTCTGATGTTAAGCTCCGAAGGATTTTTCGAACAAGATCTTTGTTCGAGTATGTTTTACCAAGGACATGGAGATCGTTGATGATCTTTAAAAATCGGTCGAACATTTGATCAATGCTTTCAATTTCCTTCATTTTAAATAACTCATATTCATGGGTTAGAAAATCAATTTTAGCTTCACGGACTTGAGGCGTACCTTCGTATGTCACTTCAAGCTTATCCCACATTTCGTTTGCGGTGGAGCAAGAAGAGATTTTCCGGTAGTCATCCGGGTTAATTGCTCAAAAAATCACGTGTTTAGCTTTTTCAAAGGCTTCTACCTTCTTGATGTCTTTAGCATCATATTCTTCCTCCTTCTTTGGGATGGTGGTTTCACCAACCTTTTTCATTGGGATCGTCTCACCATTTTTGATGATTAACCATAGTTGGAAGTTGATTGACCGAATGTAAATCCTCATTCGTTCCTTCTAATAGGTGTAGTTTGTTCCATCGAAGAGTGGAGGTCTAACGGTGGAGTGTCCTTCACTTAATCCTGCATACAACATTCTCAACAAAAAAATATAGATCGTTCTCTCAACCGGTTAAGGCTTGTAGAGAGTTAGGCTCTGATACCAATTGTTAGAATAAGTGCCCTTCACTAGAGGGGGGGTGAATAGTGAGCCTCAATACACTTGCTCGGAGATACCGCACTCCAAGACTTCAACTCGAAGGAATATGCCCTTCCTTCGTACAACCAAGGGAACAAACCTCCCTTAAAGTGTTCACAACACTTAACCACTCAAGAAAAAAAACTCTCTTAAAGAGTAGAATATGAGTAAACTAATTTAGATCAAGAACACACTCAATTCCTCAAGAAATGGCTCTAAAAAGCTATGTAAAAAGTTTATGGAATGATTCAATGTAAAGCTATGAAATGTGTGAGGAATGGATGTCAAAAGTAGACCCAAGAGACCCCTTTTTATACCCAAAAACAAGGTGCAACGGTTGGGAGAAGATTGGAGTTGATTGGCTTGATTTGTGGAAATCAAATAAAAGTGGATCTACTGAAATCTAGCCCGACAGCGCTGTTCATATAGTGAACATCGCTGTTCTGGCTTTGA